AAAAAAAAAAAAAAAAGAAAAAGAAATATTCTCAACACATAGGAATAATAAACATTGAAGAGGATGGATACCCTAAGCACCCCAACTTAATCCCTATGTATTGTATTCATCTACCAAAATATCACATGTATCTCATAAATGTATATAAATATTATGTATAAATTAAAAAACCACTTGATTAAAACAGAAGCACGGGTCACCGTAAAATAGTAACTCATTAAACCAGAGTGATAATCAAAAGATTTCAACAATAATATAGAAAGTTACATGAATGGAAAAATCTTAATCATTTTAAAGCTCAGTTTTTTAAGTAATTAAAAACCTAATAAAGGCAACATAAAATTTATTTTGATGAAATGTAAAATCTTTTTATTTTAAGCCAGCTACCAAAAGGGTAAAGTAATATCTTTTGCAGTGTAATTGTTTCTCCTTATAAAGTGTTCATTTAGATAATCTGGAAATTGGACCTAAGGAAAAGGACACTTGAATTTAATCAAACACAGAAAAAAACGTGTCTAACATTATAAGCGCAACAATTAGATATATCAAGAAAAGCAAAGAGTACAAAATCAAATTATATTGGAGAAAAATACCGCTTTTCTAGTCTTTCATGGTAAGTATTTTACTGTCAGGCAGTAACAACAAAGTTAGAACCAGAAGAAAAAAGTTGCTGGAGTGGACAACAAAGCAAAAAGGCCTTTTCAAGTTTCTCCATGGTATTAAAACTTAAGGTAGTGACGTATGCCTGCAAATCACGTGCAGTGAGATACAGCAAAAGTTGAACCACTAGGATATTGATCTGAGAAATATGGAAATGAAACTTTTATTTCAAGAAGTGAAATTATTATGTAAATGAATAGGAGAGCATTTTTAACCTCTAACTAGGGAAATTGAATAGATTTCCAGGAAAGAAATGGCAAAACCAGAAACTGTAGTTAAGAATAAGACTGTTAAAGACACATGATTTGTGCTTATAAATCAAACCTCTTGCAACTTTATGAAGAGCAAATACATATTTTAAGAAAATCTTGTAGTTTCAAATGCTGAGGATCAGATTCTGGTTGGGTATCAGTGCACCCTTAATACCAATGTTTACTTTTTAGAAAAACACATAATTTTTTTTTTCAATCTCACTCAACTCAATCACACACAAAACCTCTTTTCTAACACCCATCTTTTATAGCTCTTCTTTAACTTGTCTAGACCTTTTATAATGTTTTTAAAACCTCCAGCCTTAGTCTTATAATTTTTTTTTCTTTTGGGGAAACCAATCATTTTATCTTAGGACAGAAAATTATGTAAGATTTCTTCATACAGAATAACCTTTTAGAATTTATATTTTGATTAAAAACCTAGATATTATTAGTCTTTTTACAAAAGACTAACAAATCTTTTTTTTAAAAAAAGACTAATCTTTTTTATAAAAGGCAAATAAATCTTTTTATAAAAGTCTGATAACTTTATAAAATTTAAGATGCTAGAAGAAACTTATTTAACAATTTGTTTTAATTTTTTAACTTATTCTAGTATTACCCAGACATTTAATGAGTACCTAATATTTAACTTAACATAAGGTAATTTTTAAGATTTTAAGTTATATGAAAACTTCACAAACATTTATTTTATTAGTAATTATCCAACTTATTTATTAACAACTATATCTGGATTACTTATGAAAATGTAGATATTAGAGCTACTCATTTTAAGTTATTTTTTATTAACCAATTTGTAGCTAGTTAATATCAGATGTTTAAGTAAGAAACTTAGAGTTAAATGGATGTACACCTCATCGTTAACTCAGAAAATATATTTTTATTAAACTGTAATTAACTTTTAATTAAATATATTATTAACTAATAATAATCGAATTTTAATTTAATAATGTCTAAATGTAACCCTAACCCTATTAAATTATTAATTCAATATCAATTATTAAATTATTCTTATTTATAAAAAATTATACAATATTATTTTGTTTGACGCTGGGTTTATAGGTTTATGACTAACATATCTAGCAGGGGCAAATATAAAACTGACCAGTTAACTCAGGCAAAAATGTATGTTGACAATTTTGAAAACATTTCTAATTTTATTTTATTAACAACTTAAAAACAATTTATTTGAAGTTTATTTAAGTCATATGAACTAAATAAAACATTTGTGTAATTAAAATGTATTTTATATGCATGCCCATTTATCCTAAGAAAATTTTTAAAGAAATTTCTGGCCAATGACAGCACATTTTATCATTTAGACTTAATATATAATGTAATATATGTGCATATGTAGAAACACTTTTAAATGTATATCTATATAGAGAAAGAGATCGTACAGCTTAGGTTTTAGTCATAAAATAGCAAAACATATTAACTCATCAGTTGATTAAAAACATTTGAATCTAAATCTTTTTTTTCTTTGACAAAATGAGATAAGGCTAAACTGTAAGTTTTCTTTTCTTTTAGTTTGGCTTTGTCAAGAAGCAATTTTACAAAGGCTGTGAACCAAATTTTGGAGACAGACAGCTGAGTCAGTTACCAACATTCTGGATCAGACAAGGAATAGTTAACTTTGAGAATGTGACTCAGTTATGTGAGGAGGCCCCCAAAAGAGTTTAACAAGGTTCATATTGTATTTTCGTGGTCTCAACTACAGTTGCTATTCCTTTTAGTACAAGAAAGGTGTCTTTTACATGGGAATTTCACCATTTGCTTTTAAGAAACGGCATAAAAGTAAAAATGATTTTATTTTTTATTTTCTGACTTTCAAGTGTTCAAGTGTTTTTGTTTTGTTTTGGTTTGTTTTGTTTGAGGCAGTCTCCCTCTGTCACCAGGCTGGAGTGCAGTGGCGTAATCTCAGCTCACTGCAACCTCCGTCTCCTGGGTTCAAGTGATTCTTCTGCCTCAGCCTCCCAAGTAGCTGGGACTAAGGTGTGCACCACCATGCCCAGCTAATTTTTGCATTTTTAGTAGAGACAGGGTTTCACCATGTTGGCCCTAATGGTCTTGATTTCTTGACCTCGTGATCTGCCCACCTCGGCCTCTCAAAGTGCTGGGATTACAGGCGTGAGCCACCCCCCAGCCAGCTGTTTTTTTTTTTTTTTTTGAGACAGAGTCTCACTTTGTCACCCAGGCTGGAGTGCAGTGGCGTGATCTCAGCTCGCTTACCTCCTGGGTTCAAGTGGTTCTCCTGCCTCAGCCTCCCGGGTAGCTGGGACTACAGGCATGCACCACCATGCCTGGCTAATTTTTGTATTTTTAGTAGAGACGGGTTTCACCATGTTGGCCAGGATGGTCTCGATATCCTGATGTCATGATCTGGCTGCCTCGGCCTCCCAAAGTGCTGGGACTACAGGCGTGAGCCACTGCACCTGGCCTCAAGTGTTTCTGCTTACATACCCAGTATACCAGAATATTTGAGGAGCTTGGAAAAAAAGTTCAGCTTAGAGAAAGATAAAGAGGAGGAATTATAAGAGAAGGGGAAAGCCCTGGACAGGAAAACGTGTCAGCTAGCTTTAAGATAGTGTTTTGCAGTAAGGCACTCAATTAAGATATGAGGCTCATTTGGAGTACATAATTCTATAGTTGTGGTCTTTTAGTTTAGATTTAAGAATAGACTGTTGATCTCTGCAATATTTGAATATGTTACCAGCTGGAGTCCCAGAAAATATGTTGGCATGCCTTTAAACTTTGAGAATCCATTTGTAACTAAATTTATCTAGGTGATTTCGTTTAAATGCCAAATACATAAAAGCCAATTAAATGCAAGCACTGATTATGAAAAGGCCAAATAAACCCAAGAAGGAAGATCAGCTGCCTTCTCCAACTGAAGGAAAAAAGAAAAATGCTTTTGTCGAGCCTTCAACCTGAAAAGAGAAATCCTGTCACCCAGACCTCACAGCTGAGATCTGCCAGGAGGAAGATGGTCCTCTCTAACAGGAGATCTTCCAATAAGAGGCAGAAAGGCATCTCCAACAAAATCCATATAAAATAGAAGTCAACTAAAATTGGGAGTTGAGTCCAAGAGATTCACCAGGAAGAAATGAGGCAACCTGCAGAAGCAGTGCAGTCATGAGAGTCAATGAGCCCCTGTGTGAGTACGTCATGCCCTAGCGCTGTGGACCAGTGATTCTCCCAAACTGAATCAGCTTTGGAACACAGCTGGACACCAAGTAGGTCAAAATCAAAATAAAATATAGGGACAGATCTCTGCATTTAAAACGTTTTATTAGAGAGGTGAGAATTGTAATTTGGCATAAATGCAGGGACCGGGGGTCTTCAGTTTGTCTAAAGAACAAAACAAAGATTGGAGGTGTTATTAAAAAAAGAAAGTTATGTATTGTTTTGAAAGAAAGTTTACTGGCTCTAGTAAAGTTTTAAGGAGCTGGCAAGTTCTGATTGGTGTGTGACAGTGGTGGGTAAAACCAGTCTTGCAGTCACAGCAAGTTATTTTAACAACTGTTAGATAAAACTGGTTTTAGGCTACAACAGGCAGTTTTAGCAGCTAGGTTTGTAGAAAATTACATTTTTGAAGCAATGCTATGTGCCCTGAGTGCCTTTTTCCCCTGGTCTGTCTACTCTGTTTTAGTTGCATATGACAAGAATGACCCCATTTGTTTCATCGACTTTTGCAGATCAAAGAAAGTTTAATTTTCTTTTGGGTAAAGACAATTAGCAAATGTGGATGGTGTATGATCTACTCTTCACCTTCACTCTTAAAGCTCCACCCCATTTTGTTTTGGCAGATTTTAGTTCAGACTGAACTAAAATTTTAGTTCAGACTTTTCCCTGTGGTAACAATCTTGAATAAAATAGCCATTGTCTGTGTGATGTTGTTCAGTGCAATTCTTGCTCTGTCAGAAGGTACTTCATGTTTCCAGTTATATCTTTGTGGACTCCCAGTTTTACATTTTGTTCAATAGGTTATAATCTCCTATTCTGGTACTCAAATTGTTTCAAATTCAGACATGACAGTCCTGTCAAAAAGTGCCATGTCTATCCTTGATCTCCAAAATCATTTTCTGGCTTAAAGTTAAAAAAAAAACAAACTCAGCAGAATACCTGTAACCATTTTTGCCAGTGTTTGAAGTGAGTTTTATGTGTAGCCTGATTCATAAGAATAAATTAACCAGACAGATAACAAAACTTCAACTTTGTTTAATTAAAAAAAAACTTTGTTTGTTTCATCCTTAATAATCTTACTTTTTGTTGCCCTATTATCTAAGACATTAACTTAGTGTATTTTTTTCCTGCAAATCCATTTTCTTTCTGTGTAGCATCTAGCTGTTGCTGGATCATCATCACTGAGGTAGGCACATCCTTCACTCCCTTTCACGGCAAACCTGCAACAAAGGGATTAGCCATTATGTAGTCACGTGATTTCTTCCTTGCCCACTGACAGCTTTAAACAAAAATTCTACTTGTCTAAAGTGCTGAAAGGTGTGCTCTGGCACAGTTCTCTCTTGCTAGTGTTGAGATACCTATACTAGTTTGGATCAAAAGAGTTTCTTTTCCAAGAATTTGTATATGTTAAACTGGCATTAGGTTAGTTACATGTAATCGGTGGAGGTACCAGTTCACATAAACCAATGGTTTTCAATTAGGGGTGATTTTGCTTCCAAACCAAGAAACACTTGACAATATCTGGAGATGTTTTTTTATTGTCACAAGTGGAGGAAGAGGTTGAGTAGGGTGGATAGTTTCTGTCATTGAGTGGGTAGAAGCCAGGGATGCTGCCTACATCCTACAATACACAAAGAAAAGTACCCCTTTTCCATGACAAGAGAAGTATTCAGCACAAAATATCAGTAGTGTTTCTATTGAGAAACTCTAACATAAACTAAGTGTCTAAGTGACTGAGAGTGACCATTTAGGGTGTGTACACACATTTTCCAAATTATAACACTAAGGTATGAAGCCCAGGACGAATTGCGTAATAGTGAAATTGCAAATGAAATCAGATTAAAATGAACATCAAATTGAAATTGATCTGTAAAAGACATCAGAAAATAGGCAATAAAACGTTTAAAGAAGAGGCATATAATTGGACAAGATAGTTTATAATTAGACAAAAGTTTAAATTGGGGTGGAGGTAGTTGTGTATATGAATCTCAGGTCTTTATTTTCAAAATAGCCAACTAGGAGATTTGTTCCCTTGTATCTTAATTTCTAACCTTCATGGTTGATTCCTCAAGTAAATCTCAATATATACTCAATATCTCCTTCATCTTACTGAGACATACAAAAATATTGGGCTGTACGGAAATTTCGCTAAAGTATAAGTCCTAGAGAAGGCTGCACTATCTAAATTTAAGTGATTCCAGAAAGAAAGAAACTCACGATTTCTTAAGTTTAGCTCCATCTACCCATTGTCCTGTTCCATTGGCCATCTTCAGCCCAATCCAGTGATCAGAACTGCATTTGTACCGCCTAAGAAAATCCTTTAGAGACAAAATTAATTTCAAAATCATGCATGTCAATTTTTACTACAACCTATTGTGTACCTCTTGTTCTGCAGGTTGTGAAGTGCAAGGCAACAACTGCTCAACTCCTGGCTTCACTAGAAAAAAGCTATGGAATTTTTTTTTAAACTGCTTTATTTTTTCTCTGACCTTCGGTTTTCTGATTTGTGAAACGAATATATGAGATACATTTTCTTTAGATATGATTCCAAATTGATAAATGTTCAATTTGAATATCTATCCCTTCACAATTTTCAAACTGTAAGCTACTAGAAAGCCAAGGTTTGAAATTGAGTCCTTGCATAGCATTTCTAATTACCAGATATTTATTACACTTTTTGTCCACTTCCCAGTAAACAGTAGTAGCTTCATTTTAGTTTTATGTCTTACTTCAGTTTATCTCCACAAACTACATATGTAAACACACACACACACACACACACACACACACACAACCCTCATATATCCAGTTTCTTTAGAATCTAATTATCAAATTTTATTTTTCTGCTAAACATTTAAATTTCCAAATACATCATTCAGAAATAAATACAATGTTTCTTTTCCTGACATTTCTCCTGCTGATGCATTGTTTAACTTACTAATACCCTCGATCTTTTTCTTTAATCATAGAATTATATGCGAAAGTCCTTGAGGTACTCTGCTGCTAAATAGCTTGGAAACTATAAGCTTCACATTGTATCACTCTACTTTTCAATTGAAGATAAATATAAAGGAGTTAGGCCAAATCACAACACAATAGTCAAATCCCATCTACCCCAACAGTGACACCTGCAGCTTTTGGCATTTTAATACACCGTCTTCACAGCATTGCATAAACCAATTTGAAAAAAATTAATCGGTTGGGCTAAGTTTGGATTTACAAATAAACAGATTAATGAAAACACTGTCATACATTCAAAGGCCTTAATTTATAGTGAGGAAAATAATGTAAACATAATGTTAGAAAATATTCTACTAGATATGGAGAAGTTATGAGTGTAATGAATACAATGTGAAATTGGAATTTACAGAAAAAAAATATGAGTCTTCAAGGGAAACTTTGATACAGGATGTGCTCCAATAGAGGAGTAGAATATTCCACGTAAATGCAGATGCCCAAGGAAAAGAGGGTGATTCATAGCCTATACTCAGGAAAGAACTTCGGGAAAGGCTTCAGGAGAGATCTTGAGTGGTCTTGGTGACAGGGAACTGGGAGCTGTGTTTCCCGGGCCTGCTCTGTGAAAAATGTTAACATTATTTGTTCTGTAAAAGCTTGCCCCATTTTAGCCCTTTGTTAGAACTGAAATAATTCTAAATAGGTGGAAATAGATATAAAAGTATTTTGTAAGACAAACTTTATCTCATATTAGTTTGTAATTAAAATGTACATTTAAACTATTTTAAATAATCCATTAAAATCTTATATAAGTTTCTTCTCCACTCCACAGACGGCTTTACTTCATTCTGTTTGTCACTTAAATTTTGCCAATGTGTATATTACATAGCAGTAACCCGTGATCTTCAAAATATATTAGGATATTTTATGATCAGTGTTTTTTCTTCATCCAAACAATACAAGCATTCTTCCCTGATACATTTGAAGATTTCTCTTAACTTTAAAACAAATTATTTTTGTGTACTTCCGGTCTTTACATTCCATGACCCTCACTATTTAGTCAGTCTTCACTGACAATATTCCTACAGTGAATGTACTTATTTTAATATTGATTGTCTTTACCTTTCTTCATGTTTCCTTTTAGTAACATTCATTATTTTTCCATCTTGCTGCTTGTATAGCTTTCTTTTTTCCCCAAGAGGAACTGTAAGGAACAGTCAGAGGATTTCTCAGAATGTTCCTTTTCAAAAGTCTTGCAAAATTCAGCAGCAATACTATTGACTAAAGAAGCCCTATGATGTTAAGTTTGCACCTCGATTCTTGATTTACAGTATCTACTCCTAAGCCATCTAGCTTTCAACATTTTACTACCTTTTGTTTCTTGGAAAATAGTTGTGTTTCCTTGCACTGACCTGTAAACTGACCCTGCCTGATTCACATGCATTTGAACCAATCTTCAGGCAGATTGCATAAATAAACTTTGTTTACCACAAAGGCAACACACAACTGTCTTTTAACCATGTGGACTCTTGTGTTATCCTGCTTTTCACTGAAATACTTCTCAATAACAAATTATTTGCAAAAAATATTTTAAATCGAGCTATATTACCTCTTATATGTTTTTTTCATTCTTAAAGAGACTGAACAAAGGTAAGTAAAAATGTATGTTTACAATATAAGTGACTAGGGTAAAGAACAAATTTCACGCATGCAGAGGTGTGGTTTTATAATCCTGTTTTAAAGCTCTTGGAGAATCTGTTTACTCATAAAGATTTTGTCATGTAAATCAAAATTTATTCAACAAGGATTTGTTAGACTTTTCATTTGTACCTGATTTTGTGCAGTAATGATAAGGATAAAATTTCAGAGAAGACATGGTCACGCTCACTGAAAATGTATGCTCTGGGTGTAGGAGGAAACTTCTGATTTTCCTCTTTATTGCATTACTGGTGGAGAGTGTTTCAATGGAAGCTGCATGGGACCTCAGAGACAGGCAGCAAAACAAAATGGGGAAGTCGGGGCAAAGTTTCTCTCAGGAAGTAGAATGGAGAAGCCCCTCCTTCCTCAGACAATTTCCCTTTCTTGGCGGAGTACTGGCTCTTAAAAGGTTTCCAAACATTATCTTCTGTGTACACTCTTTAAAATACAAAGATAGTTACTAAGTCTACTACTTGATGTCAGTCTTATATTCTTCAAACAAAGTATCACTAGGCTTTTTACCTTTATGTCACATGGCATATCCTGAACATCTTCAATATTCTGCATAGGTAGGCATGAGTGAAAAGACTTCAAAATTTTAATGGTATTTGAATATTTCTTTTTTTTTTTTTTTTTTTTTTGAGACGGAGTTTCGCTCTTGTTGCCCAGGCTGTGCAATGGGGCGATCTCGGCTCACCGCAACCTCCGCCTCCTGGGTTCAGGCAATTCTCCTGCCTCAGCCTCCTGAGTAGCTGGGATTACAGGCACGCGCCACCATGCCCAGCTGATTTTTTTTGTATTTTTAGTAGAGACGGGGTTTCACTATGTTGACCAGGATGGTCTCGATCTCTTGACCTCGTGATCCACCCGCCTCGGCCTCCCAAAGTGCTGGGATTACAGGCTTGAGCCCGGCCGGTATTTGAATATTTCTAATGTTCCAACTCAAGATAATTCACAAAGAATGTATAATAAATTACTTACCATTTCTTCATTGTTGTCAATTTTAGTTAGGTAAGCATGTTGAGTGGAACAGTTATATTTACTTGAATTCCAATCTCCTTCTTCTTTAGAGAAATAATAGCATTTGTTTTGGAAACCAATCCAATCATATGGGCAAAATCTTTGAGAATCTGGAGTTGGTTTTACTGGAAATAAGACAAATACATATCTTAAGGACCATATAGAATAATATGTATTTTGAGATCACTGGACACAGGATTTTAATGTAAAAGATTATGGTCACTATGAAATTTGTATAACTATCACATGACAGGTTGAAAAAATTTTATGTCTTGTCATGTTAGGTCAAATGACAGCAGTTTAGGATATATCACGGCATTTAAATTTCTTTCAACTTCAGTGATATACAGGCCTTCCAGGAGCCACCAGAATTATTCTACTTGAGTAGGGTACCCTTTCCATTTCTGGATAAATGAAATAAAATGAAATTCTAGCATTATCTAAGAGTAATCCAAATAATAATTTGTATTAATCAGTAATGAATCTAGATACATGATTTAATCTACAAAGAAGTAAGAAAAATAATAAAACAAAATACAAAGTAAGTTGAATTGTTTGTTATCAGCTAGGTATCACCATCACTGTATAGCCTTGTGCAAGCCAATGAATGGAACTTGCATGAGATTTGGAAGTAAAGAAGAAGATATAATTTCTGTAGACCATGAGCATGGGAACTTCACAGGTCTTTCCATGTGTTCCCCTATTGCAGTCTTGTTAGCTTCTTAGGCTTTCTTCCAAATGCGTTAGTGCATTATGCCATATTATTAGTCATCATTTCTCTTTCAGCTACACAGCCCCAGTCTTCAGTTATGCATCAGTCCCAGATCTCCCCACATTCATGTTATCCCTAATTTCTATATTAAAGCCTTATTGTCATAATATGTGTTTGTTTTTTGGAACACACCCAGACTGAGTCAGTTTTTGGTACCAAACATAATTCTAAGGAAACAGACCTTGAGGATGATATATGGTGTTAGTTTTTCCATATTCACTCTAAAGCCATTGATCCAACTACCAGTTAGAAATAGGATGCTGATTTGGTTTAAAGCCTATTTTACAAAAAAGAAAAAAAGAACCAGGATGCTGATGACAGTGGAGCACAGTGGCAAAATAATTAGTTGAATTATTACCTATAGTCATCTGGGGCCAAGGGTCTACAGAAGATAAAATTTTATATGCATACACAGTGTGTGTGTGTGTGTGTGTATATATATATATATATATATATACACACATGTATGTGTACAGATAAGTGTGTATATATCTATATACACACATGTGCATATATATCTCTCTCATATACTGTCTAATAAAAATTAGTGTTTGTATTACTCTTACATAATGCTAGGATTTCATTTTATTTCATTTACCTAGAAATGGTAAAGGTGACCTACACAAGTAGAATAATTCTGGTGGCTCCAGGAAGGCCTATACATCACTGAAGTTGAAGTTGAAAGGAATATAAATGCCCTAATAAATCCTCAACTACTATCATTTGACCTAACATGACAAGACATAAATTTTTTTTCAACCTATCATATGATAGATATACAAATTTTGCATTGACCATAATCTTTTACATTAAGATCCTGTCTGTCTTCCATGGTCTCAAAACACTGTAGCATCCAGACTTATGGGATACAACTAAACTTGTGAGATACAGCAACTCTCTTAAAGCTTACAGGAAAATTTATTGGCTTAAATTTATGTTTTTGAAATGATGAAGACTTTTTGAAATGATAATTATTCTATCTTACAAAGTTAATAATAGTGATAAAACCAAAGTAGAGAGACACAATTTAAAAAACAAAAAGAACAGAAATCAATTGAATAAAAAGTTAATGCCAAACAGAAAAAAATTTTAGTCATAAGATGACTTTTGTTGAATACTCTAAAATAAGATTGATCACTAGAAAAACTAATTTAAAACGATTTAAAAGTGAGAGTAAAAACACAAATTAGCAACACAAAGAATGAAAATGTAGAGAAATTTCTAGAACACAATTTAACATAACTGACAAGATAAAAGTAGTATGTCTAAACAATACTATATTTTATTAAAAATTAAATCTTTAATTAAAAAAATTACACTGAAAGAAATCTCCCAGTCCATATGGCTTCTGTAGAAATATTTCTAATCATTTAGGAAAGGCATAACACCAACGTTATACACACTCTTTCAGAAAATAGGAAAGGAGGGGATACTTTCCAACCAAATTTAAGAAGCCATTATAATCACATCAATACCTGACAATAGTATTAAAAGAAAGAGAAATTATAAGTCAATCTCTTATGAATATATGTGCATGTATCTTAAACAAAATACAATTCAGTTAATTGAAAAATATTAAAAGGTTAATTGATTGTGATCAAGTTGAATCTATCACAGAAATTGAAGATTATCTTAATATAAAATCTGTGTAGTTCAACCTATTAGCAGAAAAAAGAGATGAAGTATCACAATAGATCAAGATAAAGCATTTGATATTTAAATTAAAGAGAAGTAAAGAGAATATCTTTAATCTGGGAAATATTAAAAATGTTTTCATTGATATTAAGAGTGAGACAAACATGTAAGCTGTCACTACTTATGCTCAACCTTGTACTGGAAGCTATAGCCAGTAAAATAAGGGAATACAATGAAAAAAAAGGCCTAAGGATTCCAACAGAATAAGTAAAACAATTATTATTGGGAGAGAATCTAAATTTTTACATAGAACCTGCAAAAGAAACTGAAGACAATTTATGAAAATGAATAGTTAACTATAGCAAATTTGCTATATGAGGCTCACATAGATATATATTAATACATATAGACAATTTTTATATGCCAGCAACAGACTGAATAGGAAAATAGAGTTAATAAAAATACTTCTATGCTACTTACAATTGCATTATAGAGCACTGAGTCTTTTAAAAATAAATGCTGAAAATGACATGTGTGAAATCTATTCTGAAAGCTATAAAAAATTGCTGGCAGAAATTATGGAACACCAAATGAATATTTTAAATGTATGATTCAATATTAAGATAATGATTCCATGAAAATTGACTATGGTATATTGAAATCTCAATCAAAATTACAGATAATTTATATGGCAGCATAAAAGATCTAAAATGCTCCAGGCAAACTTGAAGAAAAAAATAAAACTTTTAAAAGATTTAAACAACCAGACATCAAGACTTATTATAAACCTGCTGTATTAAGATAGAATGATACAGATACAAAGATAGATAAAATCGAGTAGCTTATTATAATAAAACTTTAGCAAAAATGATCTTCAGCTACACAGTTGATTGATGACAAAGACCAACTGTGGTGAAGCTGGGAAAGTATGGCCTTGTTAATAAGTTGTTTCAGGTTGAAAGATTACCTAAATGGGAAAAAATGCATGCTAATATCTATCTCATAGTATTTACAAAATTCAACTTTAAGAGGACTATATTTTGGAAAGTGAAAGGAAAGTAGAAACCCTACAAAAATATTTTTATGTCTTTGAAGTGAAGTGAATTTCTTAGAATGAAAAACATAGATACAGTGACGATAGACAAGGACACAATTACACTACTTTAAAACTCAGAAGCTCTGTTGATTAAAAGGCACGATAAAGAGAGTAAACTTAAGCTTCATAGTTAAAAAAGATATTGGCAATACCTCTAAACTACAGTCTCATCTAGAATATTAAAGAATTCTTATACTCTTATGAACCAAGCAGAAAAAGACAGCTAACACACTAAAATATGGGCAAAGTATTTAAACATTCCCATAAAAAATATTACACCTAAATCAACAGTAATTATGAAGGTACTGAACAGTATTGATCATCAGAAAACTGTCAAAGCCAAAATTGGGTAACATGCACTTATCAGAATGGCAAAAATTCATAAAACCAACAATAAAGTAATAACGTGGCATGGAGCTATTGGTGTTGTCATACACCTCTGCTGAGATTACTATTTATGGTAAATCATATTTGGGTTAATCTATGAATATTCTGTGCTTAATAATTCTTCTTATAAGTAAATATCATGTTATATCCAGTATTCATTAAAAGACAAAAAATATAAAATATATAATATGCAGTTGTTCAAAACCACCCAAATTGCAATAGTCAAAATGTGGCACAATCCAAATGTTGATCAAAAGTGAAAAGATAGATATGGTCATATATAAAAGACATATAGGGTGGTATGTACATAACAGTGGATGCACTGTAGTAAACACCTGCTAAAACAGCCTTGGACCAACAGCTTATCTTCTGCTTTTGTACAACAACTAGCTAAAAATAATTTTTTTTAGTTTAGATTATTTATTTATTTATTTTTATTATACTTTAAGTTCTGGGGTATAGGTGCAGATCCTGCAGGATTGCTACATAGGTATACACATGCCATGGTAGTTTGCTGCCTCCATCTGCCTGTCACCTACATTAGGTATTTCTCTTAATGTTATCCCTCCCTAATCTCCCCACCCTCTGCTATTTCTCCCCTAGCCCCCAACCTCCCAACAGACCCCAGTGTGTGACGCTCCCCTCCCTGTGTCCATGTGTTCTCATTGTTCAACACCACTTATGAGTGAGAACATGTAGTGTTTGGTTTTCTGTTCTTGTGTCAGTTTGCTGAGAATGATGGATTCCAGATTCATCCGTGTCCATGCAAAGGACGTGAACTCATGCTTTTTTATGGCTGCATAGTACTCCATGGTGTATATGTGCCACATTTTCTTTATCCAGTCTATCCTTGATGGACACTTGGGTTGGTTCCAAGTCTTTGCTATTGTAAACAGTGCCACAACAAACATACCTGTGCATTTGTCTTCGTAATAGAACAATTTATAGTCCTTCGGTTATATATCCAATAATGGGATTGCTGGGTCAAATGGAATTTCTATGTCTAGATCCTTGAGGAATTGCCACACTGTCTTCCACAATGGTTGAACTAATTTACACTCCCACCAACAGTGTAAAAGTGTTCCTATTTCTCCACAGCCTCTCCAGCATCTGTTGTCTCCAGATGTTTTAATGATCAACATTCTAACTGGCATGAGATGGTATCTCAATGTGGTTTTGATTTGCATTTCTCTAATGATCATTGATGATGAGCATTTTTTCATATGTTTGTTGGCCACATAAATGTCTTTTTAAAAGTGCCTGTTCATATCCTTTGCCCACTTTTTGATGGGGTTGTTTGTTTTTTTCTTGTAAATTTGTATTAATTCTTTGTAGATTCTGGATATTAGCCCTTTGTCAGATGGGTAGCTTGCAAAAAATTTTTTCCCATTCTATTGGTTGCCAGTTTACTCTAATAATTGTTTCTTTTGCTGTGCAGAAGCTCTTAAGTTTAATTGGATCCCATTTGTATATTTTGGCTTTTGTTGTCATTGCTTTTGGTGTTTTAGTTCTGAAGTCCTTGCCTATGCCTAAGACCTGAATGGTACTGCTTACGTTTTCTTTTAGAGTTTCTATGGTGTTAGGCTTTATGTTTAAATCTTTAATCCATCTGGAGTTAATTTTTGTATAAGGTGTAAGGAATGGGTCCAGTTTCAGCTTTCTGCACATGGTTAGCCAGTTTTCCCAACACCATTTGTTAAACAGGGAATCCTTTCCCTATTGCTTGTTTTTGACTGGTTTGTCAAAGATCAGATGGTTGTAGGTGTGTGGCGTTGTCTCTGAGGCCTCTGTTCTGTTCCATTGGTCTATATCTCTGTTTTGGTACTAGTGCCATGCTGTTTGATTACTATAGCCTTCTAGTATTGTTTGAAGTCAGGTAGTGTGATGCCTCCAGCTTTGTTCTTTTTGCTTAGGATTGTCTTGGCAATGTGGGCACATTTATGGCTGCATATGAAGTTTAAGATTTTTTTTTCAGTTCTGTAAAGAAGGTCAATAGTAGCTTGATGGGGATAGCATTGAATCTATAAATTATTTTGGGCAGTATGGACATTTTCATGATATTGAGAACTACAAAGCACTGCTCAAGGAAATAAGAGAGTACACAAACAGATGAAAAAACATTCCATGAGCATGGAAGAAGAGGTCCTTCACATCCTTTGCTAGTTGTATTCCTAGGTATTTTATTCTCTTTGTAGCAATTGTGGTGAATGGGAATTCACTCATGATTTGGCTCTCTGTCTGTTAATGGTGTATAGGAATGTGTGTGATTTTTGCACATTGATTTTGTATCCTGAGACTTTGCTGAAGTTACTTATCAGTTTAAGGGGATTTTGGGCTGAGATGTTGAGGTCTTCTAGATATACAATCATGTCATCTGCAAATAGAGACGATCTGACTTCCTCTTTTCCTAATTGAAAACACTTTATTTCTTTTTCTTGCCTGATTGCTCTGGCTAGAACTTCCAATACTACACTGAATAGGAATGGTAAGAGAGGACACCCTTGTCTAGTGCCAGTTTTCAAAGGGAATACTCCCAGTTTTTGCCCATTCAGTATGATATTGGCTGTGGGTTTGTCATAGATAGCTTTTATTATTTTGAGATACATTCCATCGATACCTAGTTTATTGAGAGTTTTTAGCATAAAGGGCTGTTGAATTTTGTCGAAGGCCTTCTCTGCATCTATTGATATAATCATGTGGTTTTTGTCTTTGGTTCTGTATGTGATGGATTACGTTTATAGATTTGTGTATGTTGAACCAGCCTTGTATCCCGGAGTGAAGCCTACTTGTTGGTGATGGAGAAGCTTTTTGATGTGCTGTTACAATCAGTTTGCGATTTTATTGAAGATTTTTGTATCTATGTTCATCATGGATATTGGCCTGAAATTTTTAGTTGAGTCTCTGCCAGGTTTTGGTATCAGAATGGTGTTGGTCTCATGAAATGAGTTAGAGAGGATTCCCTCCTTTTGTACTGTTTGGAATAGTTTCAGAAAAAATGGTAGCAGCTCCTCATTGTATGTCTGGTAGAATTTGGCTGTGAACCCATCTGGACTTGGACTTTTTTTTAGTTGGTAGGCTGTTAATCACTGCTCAGTTTTGGACCTTGTTTTTGGTCTATTCAGAATTCAACTTTTTCCTGGCTTTGTCTTGGGAGGGTGTAAGTGTACAGGAATTTATCCATTTCTTCTAGATTCACTGGTTTATGTGCATAGAGTTGTTTGTAGTCATCTCTGATGGTAGTTTGCATTTCTGTAGAATCAGTGGTTGTATCCCCTTTATCATGCATCTATTTGATTTTTCTCTCTTTTATGTTTTATTAATGTGGCTAGTGGTCTATCTATTTTGTTGATCTTTTTTTAAAAACCAGCTCCTTGATTTACTGATTTTTGAAGGGTCTTTTGTGTCTCTGTCTCCTTCAGTTCTGCTCCAATCTTAGTTATTTCTTGTCTTCTGCTAGCTTTTGTATTTGTTTGATCTTTTTCCTTTAGTTCTTTTAATTTTGATGATAGAGTGTTGATTTTAGACCTTTCTTCACGTCTCCTGTGGGCATTTAGTGCTGTAAATTTCCCTCTAGACACTGCTTTAAATGCGTCCCAGAGATTCTGGCATGTTGTGTCTTTGTTCTCATTGGTTTTGAAGAACATCTTTATTTCTGCCTTCATTTCATTATTTATCCAGTAGTCATTCAGGAGTGAGTTGTTCAGTTTCCATGTCGTTGTGTGGTTTTGAATGTGTTTCTTAATCCTGAGTTCTAACTGATTGCACTGTGGTCTGAGAGACTGGTAGTTATGATTTCTGTTCTTTTGCATTTCCTGAGGAGTGATTTACTTCCAAGTATGCAGTCAATTTTAGAGTAAGTAAGATGTGGTGCTGAGAAGAATGTATGTTCTTTGGGTTTGGGGTGGAGAGTTCTGTATATATCTATTAGGCCTGCTTGGTCTGGATCTGAGTTCAAGTCCTGGATATCCTTGCTAATTTTCTGTCTCATTGATCTGTCTAATATTGACAGTGGAGTGTTAAAGTCTCCCACTATGATTGTATGAGAGTCTATGTCTCTTTGTGGGCCATTAAGAACTCGCTTTATGTATCTGGATGCTCCTATATTGGGTGCATAGATGTTTAGGACAGTTAGCTCTTCTTGTTGCATTGATGTTTTTACCATTATGTAATGCCCTTCTTTGTCTCATTTGATTTTTGTTGGTTTAAGGTCTGTTTTATCAGAGACTAGGATTGCAACCCCTGCTTTTTTTTTTGCTCTCCATTTGCTTGGTAAATCTTCTTCCATCCCTTTATTTTGAGTCTATGTGTGTCTTTGCATGTGAGATGGGTCTCCTGAATACAGCACACTGATGGATCTTGACTTTTTAATCCAATTTGCCAGTCTGTGTCTTTGATTGGGGCATTTAGTCTGTTTACATTTAAGGTTAATATTGTTATGTGTGAATTTGATCCTGCCATTTTGATACTAGCTGGTTGTTTTGCTCATTATTTGATGCAGTTTCTTTATTGTATTGATGGTCTTTCCCATTTGGTACATTTCTGCAGTGGCTGGTACTGATTGTTCCTTTCCATGTTTAATGCTTCCTTCAAGGGGAAGGAAGGCAGGTTTGATGGTGACAAAATCTCTCAGCAGTTGCTTGTCTTAAAGGATTTTATTTCTCCTTTGCTTATGGAGGTTAGTTTGGCTGGATATAAAATTCTGAGTTGAAAGTTCTTTCCTTGAAGGATGTTGAATATTGGCCCCCACTCTCTTTTGGCTTGTAGGGTTTCTGCCAAGAGATCCACTGTTAGTCTGATGGGCTTCCCTTTGCAGGTAACCCCACCTTTCTCTCTGGCTGCCATTAGCATTTTTTCCTTCATTTCCACCCTGGTGAATCTGACAATTAAGTGCCTTGGGGTTGCTCTTCTTGAGGAATATCTTTGTGGTGTTCTCTGTATTTCCTGGATTTGAATTTTGGCCTGACTTGCTAACTTGGTGAAGTTCTCCTGGATAATATCCTGAAGAGTGTTTTCCAGCTTGGATTCATCCTCCCCATCACATTCAGGTACACTGATCCAACGTAGATTAGGTCTTTTCACATAATCCCATATTTCTTGGGGGCTTTGTTCATTTCTTTTCACCCTTTTCTCTAATCTTGCCTTCGTGTTTTATTTCATTTAGTTGATCTTCAATCTTTGCCACCCTTTCTTCTGTTTAATTGATTCAGCTATTGAAACTTGTGTATGCTTTGCAAAGTTCTCGTGCTGTGTTTTTCAGCTCCATCAAGTTGTTTATGTTCTTCTATAAGCTGGTTATTCTAGTTGGCATGTCGTCATGTAATTAATAAAATGTATTCATTGGTACCAATTAAATGTTATCATGAATAATGGGAAAAGAATGAGATACTGAGAAAAGATCGTAACTGAGACAGAAAGGAATAGGATCACACATAGAATATCCTGAAAAACAAAATAAAGAATGTAACTTACCTATTAGTACCGTAATAGCATTAGATATTATTATAAAAATAGCACCCACTATGAAACACTTTTTATGTCTGTTCATAACACCTGAAAAATAAAAATAAAGACATTTAGGATATTTCTGGCTCCAAAATGATGGCACAAAAGCAAGTTGGCTTTAATGAAAGCCAACTTTCAGAAAACAACAACAACAACAACAAATTAGTGCTGTGATTGTCACAAACAATATCCCAGAATTCAAATATGAGAAAGAGACAGTTCCTGGAGCCACAGAGAAGTGAAAAGACAAACAAACAAAAAACTCTGTACTGATAATAAGAGAATTAGACTTCCATATCCATGATGTCCCTCCTTGCAATCTTCCCAGTATCCAAGTGCATGGCAACATCATTTCTATACTGAAAAATGTGAGATCAAAATGGATAACCAGCTTCCCCACAAGCTGGACTTCCCTGGCAGGAAACTTGCCCCTGCCCTAACCCTTGAGAAACATCAGGCATGCCTGAAGAGAGATATACCTCTGAGGACAAGCAGAGACAAAGTGATGAGGAAGAACTACCATCCCCAGTACCAGAAACTCTGCTGTTACCTGGACAAAGAAGATGTCAGCTTAGAGGGGCTGCCAAGCAACATTATGCTATAGGAAGTTCATTCCACAAGTTCTGTGGGCTGGAATCCTAGTCAGTCTTCCAACACTACTGGCATACCCCTTTGGAACCTCACCCATTTGGTATGGGTGGCACTCTGATTGTTTACTAGGATCAAGGCAAACATGGGTTAAGGTACCATGTAGTCATAAAAAGGAGGCAGAAACATAGTCCCCCACCCCCCTAAAAAATCAACAGGTAAATTACAAGGAACATTTAAATAAATATATTCGATATAAACCAAAACAAGCCGTATAAAATCCTTCAACACAAAAACATAGATGCATACCCATAAGAAATAACAGCAAACAGGGAACTGTGATATCCTCAAATGGAGAAAGTTGGAACCAGAGACAGACGCCAATGAGATGGCAATATTTGAGCACTTGTACCAAGCATTCAAAACAGTAGTTTTAAGAAAACTCAGTGGTCTCTAAAATAACACACAAAAATTCAGAAATTTATCAGAGAAATTTAACAAAGGGATTGAAATACTTTTTGAATATCAAAAAAATACTGGAACTGAAACATACATTTGCTTAACTGAAAATTTTATTAGAGTCTCTCAACAGGAGAATGGATCAAGCAGAAGAAATAATCAATGAGCATGTAGATGGGCTTTTGAAAATACACAAGAAAAGGAAAAAGAATAATAAAGAGGAATGAAGAATGCCTACTTGTTATAAAAAAAATTGCTGCAGAAGACCACAACTAAGAATTATTGGTGTTCAAGAGAGAGTCCAGCCAGAGCAAGGGGTAGATAGCCTATTCAAAGGAATAATAATAGAAAGTATTCCAAATCTTGACAAAGAGATATTCAGGTAGATAAAGGTCAGAGAACACCAAACAGATTTCAACCCAAACAAGACTACCCTAGGCATATAATAAATAATCCAACTCTCAAATGTCAAGGACAAAGAGAGGATCCTAAAATCAGCAAGAGAGGAGAAGCGAATAACTCCTAAAGGAGCTCCAATTTATCTGACAACAGACTTCTCAGTGGAAACCATACAGGCCAGGAGGAACAGAGATGATGTTTTCTTTTCTTTTTTATTTTATTTTATTTTAAAAAAAAAAAAAACGAATGAAGGAGAGAAAGACAGAGGAAGAGGAAGAGGGAGAGAGAATGGAAGTATTGCTTTATTGCCCAGGCTAGAATGCAGTCTAAAAATGGGTACTGAAAACCTCTTTTCTACAATAATTGTGCTTAATAATGGAGACAGGAAAAAATGAGGGAAGAAAATAACAAAGAAGCAGCCAACCAATATTTCATTTAAACCTGTAAGTAGGTGTGATGTGGTGCTAATAAGAGTGTATATTTTGTGTATTTAAAGTGGAGAGGTCTATAAATGTTTATTAAGTTTACTTGTTCCGGATCTGAGTTCAAGTCCTGAATATCCTTGTTAATTTTCTGTCTCGTTGATCTGTCTAATATTGATGTTGAAGTGTCCCACTATTATTGTGTGGGAGTCTAAGTCTCTTTATAAGTCTTATGTATCTGGGTGTTCCTGTATTGGGTGCGTATATATTTAGGATCGTTAGCTCTTCTTGTTGCATTGATCTTTTTACCGTTATGCAATGTCCTTCTTTGTCTCTTTTGATCTTTGTTGCTTTAAAGTCTATTTTATCAGAGGCGAGAATTGCAATTCCTGCTTTTTATTTATTTATTTATTTATTTATTTTTGCTCTCCATTTGGTTGGTAAATCTTTCTCCATCCCTTTGTTTTGAGTCTTTGTGTATCCTTGCATGTGAGATGGGTCTGGATGCAGCATACTGATGGGTTTTGGCTGTGTCTTTTGATTGGGGGATTTAATCAATTTAAATTTAGGATTAATAATAATATATATGAGTTTAATACTGCCATTTGATGTTAGCTGGCTGTTTTTCCCATTAGTTGTTGTAAATTCTTTATTATGTTGATGCTCTTTATTTTTTGGTATATTTTTGGAAAGGCTGATACTGGTTGTTCCTTTCTATGTGTGGTGGTTCTTTCAGAAGCTCTTGTAAAGCAGACCTGGTGGTGATGAAATCTCTGAGTACTTGCTTGTTCACAAAAGATTTTATTTTTCCTTTGCTTATGAAGCTTAGTTTGGCAGGATATGAAATTCTGGGTTGAAAGTTCTTTTTTTTAAGGATGTTGAATATTGGCCCCCACTCTCTTCTGGCTTGTAGGGTTTCTGCTGAGAGATCTGCTGTGAGTCTGATAGGCTTCCCTTTGTGGGTGACCTGACCTTTCTCTCTGGCTGCCCTTAGTATTTTCTCCTTCATTTCAACCCTGGTGAATCTGATGATTATGTGCATTGAAGTTGGTCTTCTTGAGGAATATCTTTGTGGTGTTCTCTGTACTACCTGGAGTTGACTATTATCCTGCCTTGCTAGGTTGGGAAAGTTTTCCTGAATAATATTCTGAAGCATATTTTCCAGCTTGGATTCATTCTCTTCGTCACATTCAGGTACACCTATCAAGCGTAGATTAGGTCTTTTCACATAGTCCCATATTTCTTGAAGACTTTGCTCATTCCTTTTTATCCTTTTTTCCCTAATCTTTTCTTCTTGTTTTATTATTTCATTAAATTGGTCTTCGACCTCTGATATCCTTTCTTCTGCTTGATCAATTCGGGTGTTAAAACTTGTGCATACTTCGCGAAGCTCTTGTGTTGTTTTTCAGCTTTATTAATTCACTTATATTCCTCTCTAAATTGTCTATTCTCGTTAGCATTTCGTCAAACCTTTTTTCAGAGTTCTTGGTTTCTTTGCATTGGGTTAGAACAAGTTCTTTTAACTCACAGAAGTTTCTTATCACCCACCTTTTGAAGCCTACTTCTGTTAATGGAACACACTCGTTCTCCATCAGGCCTTGTCCCGTTGCTGATGAGGAACTGTGATCCCCTGTAGAGGGACAGGCGTTCTGATTTTGGGTATTCTCAGCTTTTTTAGGTTGGTTTCTTCCCTTCTTTATAAATTTATCCATCTGTCATCTTTGTAATTACCGACTTTCCAACTAGGTTTCTGAGTGGACGTCCAACTTGTTGATTCCCAGTGCTGGAATCTGAGCAACCCACTGTGCTGGCTAAAACAGTGGTGTTAAGATTGATGGTGCTTTTCTGACTCTGCACCAAGAACCGCCAGGCCCAGGCACCGGCAAAACCGCTACGCTGGCCACAAGAGTCGCGCTGGTGACCCAAGGGGCTCCTCCACTGGGAATCTCCTGGTCTGTGAGCAACAAAAATTCACCTGAAAGTGTGGCGTCCTTTCGTTCTTTGTGCTTTCACTGGGAGCTACAATCCCGAGCTGCTAGTGATCAGCCATCTTGGATCTCTCTCCCTGATGTTTTCCTAAGTGCTGAAAAAAACAAAAATCTGCCATCTAAGAACACTGTATCCTACAAAGCTATCCTTCAAATATGAAGAAGAGATAGTCTTTCCCAGACAAGTCAAAACTGAGAGTATTCACCACCAGTCGTATCTTACAAGAAATACTAAAGAAAGTTTTTCAATGTGAAAGAAAAAAAATACGCAAAAAGAAAACAGCTGAATATATATAGAATACACTGATAAAATTACATGTATGGACAAACCCAGAATACTCTAATACTATGATTGTGATGCACAATCCACTGACATCTGTAGTATGAAGATCAGAAGACAAATCTATCAAAGACAATAATAACTGCAGAAACTTGTTAAGAGGTAAGGAATAAAAATATGCAAGCTGAGACAACTAAATTAAAAAATGCGTGAGGGTGGAGTAAAAGTATTTGTTACCTTGTTTCTATTCTTTTATGATATAAGTTGTTATCTCGTTAAAATAACTTGTTATATCTATGTTTTCATAAGCCTCATAGTAATCACAACACAAAACCTATGATAGAATCACTAAAAATAAAAAGCATCTAATTGATATATACTACCAGAGAAAATTATATGACCACAAAGAATGACCACAAGAAAAGAAAACAGAGATAAATTTTAAAACAACCATAAAACAACCAACAAAATAGCCATAATGAATCCTTGCTTAATAACACTGAGTTTAAATGAAGTCAACTCTCCAATTAAAAGGCAAAAAATGCAGGCCAGGTGCAGTGGCTCATAGCCGTAATCCTAGAACTTTGGGAGGCCAAGGCAGACAGATCACATGAGGTCAAGAGCTCAAGACCAGCCTGGCCAACACAGCAAAACCCCGTTTCTACTAAAAAAGTGTGATGGTGGATGCCTGTAATCCTGGCTACACAGGAGGCTGAGACAGGAGAATCGCTTGAATCAAAAAGGTGGAGGTTGCAGTGAGCCAAAATCATG